TTGGTTGGGGGGAGGGTTAATTTGTGTATCGTCCGGTTCCCGGTTCTGTTCCATTGCGATCCGTCTCGTGGCCGCAGTCCATTTAATCCCGCATTATTTGTTCATTTTCGTTGATTTATGTCTTGCTAAAATGTCACACAGCGCTGGCATTTATTCAAATTGTCAAAAAAAAAAAAAAATAAAATAAAATAACACACACAAATAAATACAATACTACAGTTCTTGGGCACCCCTCATAAAAGTCCAGCGAAACAAAAGTATCTTTCTATAGAAATGAGCTCGATGAATTATATAGTTTTTGGAATTTTGTGTACACTTTCGTTCTTCGAAATGATACCGATTGGCATTAGAGGATCTCAACACTTTGCTGGAGACTAGTTTAGATGAGTTCAAACTAAGCTATTACTTTGATCACACTGTAAGTTCTGTAGTGTCAATGACACTTGCTTAAAATTAAACCAAACGTTATGATTAATCTTATAAAAAGTATTATAGTAAACCAGGGCTGCATTCGTCTTTGATCACATTGTAACTTGTGTAGTTCCAATGACACTTGCTTTAAATCAAAGAAAAAATTGTGTTTAATCTTTGATATTCAGATTTTGCTTTAAATTGAGACAGAAATTAAATTAAACCTTTAAAAAAGTAATATAGTGAGCCAGGGCTGCAATATAGCTCTAGTCCATTGTAAATTATGTACTTCCAATGGGCTTAACATTTAACTAACAATTGTGATTAATCATGAAAAAAATATGTATGGTAAGCCAGGGCTGCAACACGTTTTCATCACATTGTTGAAAGTTCTGTAGTTCCAATGACACTTGCTTAAAATAAGTCAACGACTACGATGAATCTTAAAAAAAAATATATGTGCTTCATCCGGACTTGAGCCGAACCAACTCAAGCTCTGGATTAGTATTTTGTATTATCTAAAACAAAACTTTATTTAGTGTAAAGAACATTCAATGATAAAGAATTTGGTGCCCAAAGATTGCATAGATGCAAATTTTCTTGAAAAGTAAAGCCTTAAGTTTTAAAAGCTTTTGTTCTCTCGCTTTAGTTACGTATACTTATTATAAGAATGTTTGTCTTTCAGCTGGTGTCATTAGGTGGAATATCTCTCTGCTCTCTTCATTTAACTCCATCTTCTTGCCATCTCCCGATTAAACCAAATCAAACCCGTTCCAAGCCCGCCCACTAGCTGGCGCCAGCCAGCCAGGCCAAACGCGTTATTTTAATCAATTAATTAAAACTAGACTCGTAAACCTAGCTAATCAGTGGCTAGTCCCAGCCCCGAACGGGCCAGGGCAGACTATTGCAATCGCATTCGCTTCCAGTTCCATTTGCGATGCCGAAACGACAATTAGCGCTGCGTGCGAGCTGTGCGCCGCATAATTAAAGTTGCGAAAAATTTAACTATAGTATACTAGTATTAGCAACAATTATTCGAAACGAGCCAACATGGCGGCGGTCAAGCGTAGCTGCAGCCTCTTCGGCAGCTGTGTCTTGGGCCGCAAATCGAACTCCGATAACTTCGAGTACGTGGACATGAGTAAGTCAATAAAACGGATGGATGCGAGCTGCGAGCTGCGAGCTGTGAGATACACGAGCTCGTTAACAGATGCAGCTGCACCATTAAAAAAGCATCGATCAAAGAGCCAAAAAAATCAAAAGAAAATATGAAATTTTTGCAAATTGCTGCGGCAAAACAAAAAGTACATTTTAAAAACAAAGAGAGATAGCGTGTGTGTGTGTGTGTGTGTCTGCAAAATGATCGTGAAACAAAGGGTCGCATTTTACTTAGCAATTGCCCTGGCGACTGTTTAACAATTACCAGATGTTGGCGTCAACTCTTGCCGCTGAAATATTGCCCACATTACAGCCGGAGAGTCTGGCAAAGAGCTCAACTTCAACATTCAGTTCGAGAGCTCTGTGCAACTGCCGCTAACTGTCGCCAGTGTCCATGTAATTGAGTGATAAATTTCAATGCAACAGCTTTTGCCTCAACTTTGCAACAAAATCAAAATTGCAAACTTGCAAACGCCAAAACAAAACTCATTTAAACGCGGCAAGCAGCAGCAGCCGCAGCCGAGACAGAGGAGCAAGTTTTGGCCACGGCCATTAATCAAACAAATCACAAAAGACAAACAACTTTTTGTCAGGCTCAGAAACTGTCGGCACATAGAAACAAGACTCAAAGCCAGGCAATTTTCGAGTTAATTATGTTGTCATGCGTTTAGAAAAACAGCCCAAAATAAAAGTTGCAACAATATTTATTGGCTTGTATGTCTGTGTGTGTGTGTGTATGCAAATGTGTTAGCAGGAACAAATAAATACATTGCAGTCTGACTGCGCAATACTCTGTTTGAAACATATAAATGAATGAAATGAGATATAGAAATATTTATATTTATTATATATTTAGATTGTAAGCAAAAGAAAATTTAGAAAATTTAGAAAATCTGCTAAAAATAAAAAATGTTTCACAATTTTAAAATATTTTTCAAATTAAAAAAAAGCGAACAAAGCTAAACCTCATATATAACTTATTAAACAAAATTGAGGTTAAAAAATCAATTTTATTTAATTGTGATTTTGTGGGCGTGGTTAAACGTTATTTTGGGCTCGATCTTTCCAAAGATATATAATATTCTTATACAAATGTAAGTGGCGAACAGCTTCACCGAAGGCAGGCCAATGCCAATATACTCTTTGGGCACTTTGTGAACAGAGTATAAACAGAAAAAGAACGCTCCACTTGTCATTTATATTCGCACAGCCTTTTATTTATAATAATAATAAAAATAAAAAAAAAAGGCAGTGCCTCGACTCCCTTGGCCATATAATGAGCAGCAGCTGCCGCATGCAACAGGAAGAGCAGGCGCAACATGCGCCTCTCGGCTGGCAATCGGAGACGGCGACTGACGAGACGACAGACAGCAGACAGTAGAAGGGGCAGCAGACAGGGCAGCAGTGGGGCAGCGGGACGTGGCAGGGTGCGACTGCCGACGACGACGCCATTTGTGGGTGTCAAGAAGTTCAGCGCGCTGTGCCGAGCGCCCAAATGCAACAGTAAATTTCGGTATGGCCAGGAGATAACATCGACGACGCAACACGGATCGCATCGTATCGGATCGGAACGGAACGAATCGAAACGCGCTTTCGGCGATTAGCTTTCAGATTTACACTAAATGCTTAAAACGTGACTGAATTTATGATGGGCCAGCCACAACGCCAGTTGATTAGCTGAGACAATTTATTTCAAACACACACGACTTCACAAAATAGCTCTCGAAATTGTTTTGGCTGCCTATTTCAAAATTCATGTTGTTTTTTTAGCTTAAATCTGAGACAACAAAACAACTAAATCGAAAAGAAGCACATTCAGGCCCAGTTGCGGCTGGCTAAAACTGAACAGTTGTGTCTTAAATCTTGTTGTGGCATGTTGCATCTTGAGTAAAAGTGTATGAATTGGGAATATCAAATATATAAGAAAGTTTTCTGAATGCATGTGAGTATATGCATCAAAAAAAAGTTTAAATTTGAGCCGTAAAATGCAGGATTTAATCAATTAGCAAGTGCTTAAATAAAAAATCAATTATTTTATTATTGAAAACAAAAGTGCTTTTGATCAAAATATAAAAAATAGTTTGGACAACCAGATAAACTTTGTGTTTTAATCAGTTATAAATTCGATGCAACAATCGGAGCAACAATTAATTATGCCCTACTTATTCAATTATGTAAGCGTAATTCTGAAAGCCCAAAATTGTTTATAATTTCGTTGCCCAACAAAAGCACAAGTGTTTAAAAGTGAATTATAATACTTTTATATTACGAATTTGTAACATAAAAATAAAGTAATATTTTCGTAATATAAAGGTAAAATATATTACTTATAAATAACAAATTTGTAACATTAAAGTATATATTTTATTTTATTTTGTAATGCTGCTTTTAGCGACCTTTCCAATTTTAAAATAATCATTTAGGGCCGGGACTTTATTTAATATATATTTCTCCGATATGTTTCTTGCCTTTATTATTACTTTTTTATAAACTTTTTTAAATTATAGTACTTTTATCTAAAAAAATTCGTATGAATTTTTTGTTTAAATAATTTATACTAAACGTTTACACAAGTTATTTGCATCAATTCCTTTGTTTAAAACAAACTTTAGTATCAAATATTTTTGATATAAAATCAATTTTTGCAAAATAATTGAAAAGCAATTTTCATTGTGCAATGTTTAATTATTTAACTGTTGCATTTCATTTAAATTCATTACTTTAATCGTCGCGGACATAATAAAAATATAATATCTAACATGAATGTGACATTTTTAATCAATTCAATCATTGCACAATCAATAAAGTTAAATATTAAAATTGACTATATTGTAAATTTAATATATTGTTTTATCGATCTAATCAACGCTTAATATTTAATGCAAACCTTAGTGTAACACGTTGAATTTATATTAATCTATATATTTTGGACTGTCATCATTGCATTCCACATTTCTTCATGCAGTACAAATGCACAGGCTCAGTTTGCAATCACATTTTACCTTTCCCAATCGCATTGATAAGACTTAGGTGACACAGTGCCACAAAAAAAAAACAAAGATATAATAAAAATTCCCAAGAGACCTTTTGTTTGCCTCGTTGGGTACTTAACAAAATTATCACACATGAAAAATTTGCTCAGCGCGGCGCTTTTCCAAAGCCAAAAGGCAAACAAACGTTTTGAGAATGTCAGACAAGGGCTATTTGAGGAGCCACAGCTAGGGTCATAAATCGCTAAAGTCAAATCCTAAGTAAACACATTATTTATCAAAGACACACACACACACACACACAGAGGGAAACACATATAGTGCACTGCTTTTTTGGGGTCGCTCGGGCCAGTTGTTTATCAGTAGCGCATTCGCCTCTTGTTGCACTTTTTGCTCATCGTGACGATCGTGTTCGTCTTCGTCTTTGATTTCATTTTGCAGACAACTGCGGCAACGTGAACAACACAAACGGATCTGCTTCTGCCACCGGCTACGGCTTCAGTCAGCCGGGCTACAACATGGACGACATACTGATCATCACTGCCAAGCACAGCGAACGCGCCTATCTGCGCGCCACTTTCCTGAAGAACCATTTCGACAAGATCACCAAGCAGCGCGGACGCAAACCATTCAAGTGAGTGTTACAACCAGATCAAAAGTTCATACAAACGAATACATAGAATACCTATATCATATACAAGAACTTAAAAAATATCCCTTAAGTAGTCGCCTTTAGCCTTTAATCACTTTACTCACTAAACCCTGCTTAAATTGTTTTCATTCATTTTTGATTAATATTATTTCATAGATCTAGAATAACTAGACCATATATAATAAATTAGAAAACCTTACTAAAATATTCGTAATTGCCTTGAAGCAATTTTTAAAAGCTTTAAGATCATATTAGTTCGTAGGTTTTTTAATTCTCTTTTCATATACAATATCTTAGAAAATCGATCTAAAACAGTCGCCAATATCAATTACCTACTCTTTCATCGTTTTATTAGTTCAAAAAACCTATTTTTACTTCTTTATAATAACAAATTGTTGTTAATTTTTGTTGTTCGTTATTTTTTTTGTTCATATTTAGAACACTTTGTTATCTAGTGTAAAAAGCCTTTGGGCTTTTCACATTATTTAGCGACTTTTGCCACTGTTTCATTCCATCGTTCCGCTATGAAAACTGGCCAAAATTAAAAAGTTAGGTTAGAAGCGACCTAAGAGTAAAAACTCTTTTGATACTAAACAGAATGTATAGTAATATAAAAAATGCCTCATAAAATGATAAAGTAATGAATTAAATATATAAAGTGAATGCAGAAGTATTTTCATAATATATAGATTCATAAAAAGAAATTAATAAAATAAGTCAGGTCATACAATTATCGAAAAGGTTCTAGAAAATCTGTGTTCTCTCTAGCACTAATAAATCTGTTTTATTATTGTAATATTCACATAGAAAGCAAATCTAACTCTAACTTTCTTTCCCCTTTCCTTCCTCAGTTTTCTGCACATAAAAATTGATGATGGCCCCTTCAGCGAGGAGATCGCTCAAAAATATCAAAATACGGCGCTGCAAATTGTCATTCTGTGCCCAGCCCTGTTGGCACTGCCACACAGTTTCCTGATGGCGCAGCTGACATCGATAATACGCGTGGAGAAGGTGCTGGCCATATTGCTGGATGTGGGCGAAGATAAGGTCAAGGAGATGCACAAGACGGCGCTGCCCAACTATTATAAATGGCGTCGCTGCGTGGTGCGGGACAACGATCAGGCGCAGATCAGTCACATTTTGGGCATAGCCACCGATATATTGGGCCGGGCGCTGTGCCAGCGTCCGCCCTGTCAGGATAGCAGCAATAGCAACAACAGCAGCATCTCGCGCAGCATGTCCAGCTGCTCGGAGGGCTTTACCGTGCTGCCCAAGAAGGTCAAGCAGGGCCAAAATAAAGTGTTGGCCATACTGTCCGAGCCGCTGAAGCCGAACGACACGCTTAAGCTGCTCGTGGAGAAGTCGGGCGAGCTGCTTGAGGTACGGAATTTCAAGTGCCGCAATCCTTACACTGTCCAGTTCGCCATACCCGAATCCTGCATGGAGATATCCACCATGATTGAAATACGCATCGAGAAGAACAACAAGAGCCTCGGCGCACGTCCCATCAAATGCGAGAGTCGCCTGCGTGAATTGGAGCAGCTGCTGCGCGTCGAGGACTCGCCCATTGAGTTCATGTGCCATGCCCTGGGCGTGGGTCCTCTGGAGCGCGATGCATTGGATCAACATTTGCTGCAGTGCTTCCAGCGCAATATGCCGCCCAATTTCCATCTGCTCAACGGACCCAGCGAGCGCCAGCCGCACTTTTTCACACGCCTCGAGTCCAGTCCCGAGGAGTATCCAACACTGTTGCACTTCGCCGCACGCTGGGGCCTCAATCGGCTCTGCCTGCAGCTCATGGAGTGTCCCGGCGGCGACACGGCCTGCGGTGTGCGCAACTGCGCTGGCCGCACGCCCGCTGAGCTGGCCGAGCAGGAGGGTCACCATAAGCTGGCCCAGAATCTGATCAGTTTCTCGGAGTTTCACAATCTCACAATGGTCTATCACTACTTCAAGGGCGTGGACAATGCCAGCAGCGGCGCCAGCAGCCCGGGTGCCCAGACCAAGCCGTGTGGCAGCAAGGGCGCCCAGGTGGTCATCGGAGCACTGCCATCGTCGCCCAGAAGCAAACCACCCAAGCAGCTGCCCACGGCAGAGTATATGGAAATGTCCAGCGGCTCGGAGCGCGAGAATACGCCGGAGGTGCGCACCAAAACTGAGACAATGGCCATATCGAATCTCAACTACATCAGCGTGGAGACCGAGGATGAGAATCTAGAGAGCTGCGCCACAGAGAAGCATCTGGAGTCCAGCAAAGTGCTGGAGCCGGCAACTGGACCCGAGCAAACCACCAACGAGCTGCGCATCAACGAACCGCCATACTATCAATCCAAAGAGCAAAACAAATCCGAGGATGTGGTAGATGGAGCAGCCAACTATCAGACCACAGATAAGTTCAGCCAGGAATGCTCACAGCTGCTGGAGAACCAGGCAATGGCCGGCAACGATTACGTGATGCAGCCCTCCAACATACCAGTGCCGCCCGTTGTGCCCGATGATGGCAACTATCTGTTCCAGCCCTCCAATCGGCCGGTGGAGGAACCGCTGCGCCTGAGTCGCTCCACAACGCGACTGCCTCAGACCAATAACAGCTATGGCACATTGAAGCGCAGCGCGAGCGATGCCTCCAGCAGCACGCGGGCCAATGCCGACGACGAGCTGGCCGAGATTATGCACGATTTCAAGAACAATGTGCTGTCCATACATGATGTGGAGCTGCTCGTCGAGAAGTGGAAGCATCGTAATGATGTACAGCAAAGCTTCCGCGAGAAGCAGGAGCAGATCGATCAGCTGCGTCGCGAATACGAGCGCATACATGAGCATGTCAGGTCACAGCTAAAACGCGAGACGCCCTTTGAGCGCATCAAGAAGCTCTTCTCCAGACAGAAGCCACATGCCGCCGTCGAGAAGCAGAGCAGCTGTGCGGACAGTCTGCTGGACGAGACGAAGAGCTCTATTGCGACCAACTGCAGCCTCAAGTCTTCGGCGCGTCCCATTAGCTCGCTGAGTCTGCAGAGCGTTTCCAGCTCGAGCTCCTCCTCGGGCCGTCTCAGCACGGGCAGCAACTGCAGTGGCGCCTCGCTGGGCGACTCTGGCACACATTCAGATCATGAGGAGCGTCGTCAGTTTGGCTGCCGCCTGGGCACGCCCGGTTCGCTGATGGATAACTATTTGGTGCCGCCGCCGCCGCGTCCAGTTTTTACGCCGGTGTCAACGCCAGGCGATGAACGGCATCAGATTGTGTTCCCCTCACCAATGTCCAGCTGCCAGCGCCTACACACGCCCACCAGTCCCACTGGCTCCGATCACTATCAGATGTTTCCATCGAATATACCCGTCTACTGCAATGGCAGCCAGCCGCTGTCCACATCGCAGAGCAGCAGCTATCTAAACACCATTATGGAGGCAAAGGAACAGGATACGCAGCACTACCAAAACGGTGTCACCCTGCAGCCCATCAAGCTGAACGAGCGACCCAACATCATCTATGGCAAACTCACCAAGAGCCACTCCAGCAGCGGCTGCAGCTCGTTCAAGCCCAAACAGGTTGCCTGTCCGCAGGTGGGCAGCATCGAGGTGCAGGCTGAGGTCTATCAAAATGTGGGCAGCCCAACGGAGGAGGCGACAACCCCGGAAGTTCCGGTCAAGGAACAATCCAACGAGGCGCCCAACTACATGAACTGCTAGGCCTTGTTTCGTGTATTTCTCGTAGCTGCATAAGTTTTCATATGATATATATATATCTAGCCTAAGCTTAAGTGCATATATAAATTCGATATTGCTGGAATGAGTATAAACTAGTTAAACAAACGGTTGTAATCAGCCGCAAAACATATTATAAAATATTTCTCGACTACATTTAACTCACTAACTAAGTATGTAACTTTTTTTAATATACATGCAGCAACATATTGTATTATCTTTAGCTATCGTTCTCGATCTTTGAAATGTACATTATTTTGAAACGATTGCAAGCAACCAAAATAACATATCAGATAGTCTTAGGCCGGGTCTCGAACCAACGAATTGCATGTTTGTAATTCTAGATCTAAGTACTCCCCCCCATTTGTATTAAGCCTAGCATGCAGCTGAGCATGAAAAACACATATTTTTCGCACAAAGTTAAATGCAATAAATTGAATTCTTTAAGCAATGCAAACGACTCTCATTGCACCTCGGTACACGTACTGAGCCGGGTAGCTGTTGGGGTCACGGGTCTGTTTGGAGCAAACAGGAAATCATGCGGAAGCCCGCACTACATGCAAAAGGGGATTGCAACTGCCAACGTAAATTTCGACGGTAAGAGCAACACACTAGAACAACTAAGTTTGCCCGACTTGGAGATACCCTTGACCTGGCGCTGATGTATCTTTACGAAAATTCATCTACTTTCTTGTATATATATATATACATATATACAAAAATATATGCTAATACACATATGCACGCTTGCTCCACGCTTTGGATAATGTATTCCTGAATAATTAAAGTCCGAAATTTCTGTAAATATTCTACATTTTAAAGTCCCACAACTTTACTTAATTTCCAGGCGTAATGTTATTATGGTCATGGATTGTTCTCTTCAATAATTTAGAATATAAAAAGATTTATAAAAGCTTTATATTTATATGTGTAAAATATTTTATTTTTATAATTTTGCACTCCTCAATTTTCATTAAAAATTATTGTATTTAAGGTAAGCGTTAATAAAAATACCTTATTAATGCTTCTCCATACAAGAATCTTTTACATTCTCTGTAGTAAGAAGCTGTAATCATAAAGCCAACTATTTATAACTAACACGTGACGCTCAGAAGTATGCTAACATTTTCAGAAACGCCAAATTTTAAAGGGAATTCTACTACTTTTCATATACATTTTTATTTTAGCTCCTCACACATACACACGCACACTGTTACAAGCCCAGCCAAGCTTGAACAAAGCCTGTAATTCTTAATTCACATTCACACTCGCTCGCCCTGCTCTGGAGGTCACAATTATTGCGTACGCGGCATAGTATTTTTCCCAGCTGAGTACGCGAAGAGCTAAGCCGCCATTTTACATTTGGTCTACATGCTGCATGGATGCGAATATGGCTTCGATGCAACCAGCTCCGCCCCCAATATCCGGTTCATTCCCGCCCAACTCCCACACACAGCTGTTAATGGGCTGTAGTTTTTGTCGGTTTTTTAAAGTACGAGTGTGGGTGCGTGTGCGTGTGAGCGTGCGTGTGCTGTGTGAATTACTTTAACGAGCGCAAACCTCAAAGAGAGTGTGTGAGCGTGAGAGGCTGGGAGAAAAGCACGCGGTAAGCTCTTATTTTTGTTTTAAACTGAGCTTTTGCACAGCGTGTTTCGACCTAAACATTGAATATGGAAATGAAGTTAAAAATTAAAATGAATTTAACCAAACTTAGTTATTAAAGGAAAATAATAAAGTCCTTGATGCAGCTGATTTGGATGTACATTTTCACGTTGTGTCTTGCTAACCATAAACACCCTGTGCTCAGCACAATACAAAAAGCTTTCGTCAATGCCGAAAGTCAAAACAAACGGCAAAGCTCTCAACTATGAGAGAGAGCGCCTGTGAGCTGAGAGAGAGAAAGAGAGAGCAGCAAAAGCGCTTGGCACGGTGAGCGACAAAAGCTTTTTGCATTTGGCCAGGCTAAAGCGAACAAGTGTGTATAAAAAGGACATTTCCTTCAGTCGACTCTGTTAATTAAGCGTAAATGCGACGCAAAAGTGCGCCACAACATTTTCTCTCCATACAAAATTCACAACTTACGCCTAAACAAACATTAAGCTTGTGTTGAAAGAATAAGAGAAAACCACTTGAACAAAACTGAAATAATTTAATAAAAACAAAAAGGTAAAGAAAAAGCGTGCAGAGTAAAACAATTTGATAATAGAAGGACTTTGGCGCATCCTCGGTGGCCCCTAAGTGCTGCTGCACTCTCGTGTGAAAACAAAAACATAAGCAAAAATCTTTTACGGCATCTCAACTGCGTAGTACCCAAAGCAAAAACAATATATTGAAATTATTCCACTCGGATTAAATATTTACAATTGGTTCGGCGCTAATTAGACGAGGGAACTCCGTAATACCCAAAGGCAGCCAAAAAGTCTACTAAGAAGCAACTGAAGCACTGAACTGAACTGCAACAACCTGAGAGCCTGAGGAACGCTTGGAACAGCCACCGCTCGTAAATAATTGAAGGTAGGCAACGTTGTCAGCAAACTCGTAAAATTTATGTTAGATTTTACACTGAGTCCGTGACCAGGCAGTCGCATTAATTTCTCATTTTCCATTCCCCCCATTCCCCCCATTACCCACTGTCGGCCAGCATTTATTTGCCTTTCAATTAAGTTGAGGCTGTGCCGCGTGTGGCTAAAGTTAAATTTGAAATGTTGCCATGTGAAAATGCAACCACTTCAAAGTTTCTACCGAGCATAGCATTTTTAATGATGCACTAAACGTTAATGGGGTGAATGGAGCAGCCTCTTTCAACTTGGTCCTCGCCCAAATGGGAGGTGTTTAAATGTTGTGAACATTTTGCAGCTTAAGCTCAAACTTAAGCTTAAGGTTTATAAAAATGTGCATTAAGTACACTACAGTGAGTTTATAGTAAATCACATATGCATGCATAGCTTACAATTTGGAGACCTGCAACGTCAGATCGAATAATGTTTCTAGGTTAATGCTACATGTAGATCCCCTGGGTATTGAGAGTGCCAGTTTGGATCATGGCTGCAACAAACATTTAAGCTTAAGGTTTTGGTTTTGGTTTTGGTTACAATTTCTCCGCTTTCAAATTGAATAATGCTCTTTAAGTGTTATATTTATTAAAATTTTTAATTATTCACAAAATTATGGTTCCGATTACGCCGGAATTTGGCTGTTTATTATGCAATTTAGCCGGTTTAAGTTTTGGTTTATTGAATATGTAAAATTTGCGTATAGAGCTGGTTTGGCTTAAAACTGAGCTAGGTTAGAAATGTGACAAAATTCATAAAAGGTCTACAAGAGCCCGAAAGCGGAATGAATTGTTAACTTGAAGAACCTATTAATCGATGCATATCCTATTTATATCATATTTATCATATTCAGAGACTTTTAGACCTAGAGACATATTTGTTTAATTTTCAACATATTCTTATTGTATATAAGTCCCACATATTACTATTATTATCCCAATTTATTACTTATTTAAATTATTTTTTGAATTTTGAATTAAATTAAATATATTATATATAAATATTTGAAAAGTTAAAGTTAAATATACTAAATAGTTAGGAGAATTGAATATAATTTAAATAGCAAGCTTGGCTGTTCTTTGCAATGTATTAAAAAAAAAAAGGTTTGTTTAGTTTTGTTGGGGTTTTGCTTGTTATTTTTGCGATACTTGTAACTACCTCAAGTGGCGCAAGAAACAACAAGACACAAACAAGCACCTAGCGCGTGCACACACACACGCACACACACGCACACCCAGACACACCCACACGCAGTATATATGGCATATATTGTATAAATTCTATGCAACACTAATACAAATGCATTCATTTACAGCACAAAGCGAAGAGATGCTTTGGCCACAATGCACGCTTTTCTTTCTGTGTCAGGGGGCAAGTGCCTTAGAAGCTGCCACACAGTTGGTATTATAATTTTAATTACCACTTGAGCGACTCGCCCGCCGTCAGTCAGCGACTACGTGCTTGTAGAAATGCACCAAGTCAACGCACACGCACACACGCATTTCTATATAAAGGACATGTGCCATATACTGCACATAATATGGAAATATGTATATAAACAGCGCACAATGCAAAATGTGCTTACAATGCGTACAATTCTATTCGGTTGCATTGTTTGGCCCTTTTCTACTTTTAGCATATTGCATTTTTCCTGAATCGAACAAAAAAATAAACGGAAAACATAAACGTGCATAGAGACTGCTTAGAACTTGCAATATTGCGCATACGCCATGTAAGCATGTCAAAGGAATGCCGCCCCATAATTGCGCATTTGCCGCTTCACTGGATTGCTAAACCACAGCCGCACCTATGGCTTAGATATCGATTGTGAATGGCTGTTTAAAGTGGCCTCAAATATGAAGAATGTTAAAATTTCCACAGATTACAGCTAGAACGAAGGAGGTTGAGCGTTCGGGCATCAGGCTAAATTATACCTCGAACCCATTAAAAATAGATTCAAAGGGTATATTGTTTTGGTTCTTCTGTGTAACAGGTAGAAGAAAGTAATTCTGACCCGAAAAAAAGATCATTTGGATCATTTGAGGATGAAGCTCTGTTTTTTCAATACATATCGAGTTTATGTTTAGCATATACATATATATATTCTAATAAATAGCCAAATATATACGTTCTCGTATCATACGAAGATCAAATTCTATTTTACTTTTACATCGATAAATATCGATTTTATATAACCTTAATATATATTTATATTTATTTATTAAAGAGATTTAGTTTGAAATTTTCCGACTTAAATATACAGATTAAGATTTCTTAACTTTTTTCTTAACTGATTGCGTACTATTTAAAACTAATTTATATAATAATTAAAATTAATTGTTTAAAAATTTAATTTTTAGAGCCAAAACTTTTGGTTTAGTATAAACATGAATTTGCGTGCCATGTTTAAGCACTAAGAAAAACAAAAAGTTCAGACTAAAACACACTAGAGTTATTCGAAAAAAACATTTTCCATTGTATGGAAAATAACTTACTTCAAGAATATACAAGCAGGCGTACAAAACTTTATGAGAACTTAAAGTTCTACGTTAAAGCTTTAAGTAGAGGGCACGTAAAAAACTTAAAATCGTATAGAATAGTTTTTAAGTAGTTTAACCAAAAACGTAGCATACTTTTCCGAGTGCCAGTTGGTAATGGCCGCCGCTTGGCGCAAACTCAAAATGCAGCAAATGCTACGGCAATAATGCCAAATATGTAATGTGATCATTATAATCATGCAATTTGGACGCTGTTATAACGACCAACCGAGCCAATAGCCAATAGCCCAATGTAATTGGAGAAGCACAAACGGGAAATGTCATAATAGCTACCAAAGTCGCTTTGATGAACATCATAAATTCGTTTTTATTGAATAATACCATGAGACATTTACAGTTGGCAGGACGCAAACAGTACAAAACAAAAAGTAAATAACCGATACATATAGCAAAGAGCACTTCTATATAGTTGGCAGTTGGCAGGTGGCAGGTGGGCTCAGGTGACACACGGGCACATTTAGGCTGCGGGGCGTGCCAATTAAAAGTAACTATAATTGTAATGTGCTTTTTTGTCTAATGAACTGAGAATGTTTCAGGTTATTTGAACGGACATTTGGCAAGAGCTATGCTTATGCCACGCCCCAGTATTTTGTTTTGGCCAAAACGCAACGATTTGGCAAACATATTCACAACGTCGCGACAATGTCGTCGCCAAAGGGTTTTTCAGTCCGTTTTTTTTTGTGTAGCCTACGAGTAAATTATTCGTTTACAGCAGGACCCCAACAAGTCGTGGCCGTTTTCCGTTTTAGTTTTGTTTTCCTGTAGCTGCGCTGTGACCGACATGTGACCCCGACACAAACACACACACACACACACACACACACACACAGACACAGTGCAGATTCAACTTCATGGTTGGCTGGCTTTAAACTCGTTTGCATTCAAAAGGCTTGTGCAATAATTCATCAATTTGAGTGTCCTGGCCACTGCAAACATTAGAAGTCCAATTTGCCGTCAGGCATATTAATTATGCAAGTCACTTTGCTGCGTCACACGCAACTGTTTCGCTTCCACGTTGCATGCCCCGCCGCATGGCCGGTCTGAAGCACTTGCTTCATATTGCAATTGTTTGCGTGGGACTGGCAACAGCTGTCAGCTAAATGCAATTGCTTGTTAATCTAACTTCGATAGAAGTGTCTTGAGATATTAAAGCAAATATTCATAATTTCTAGAACTTCATGCCCAGCAAAAATTGTGGGTAGAATATTCAAATTATTTTCTCTTCTTGATATACTTTCTATAAATAACAAAATGTAAGAAACGGTTTCTCCTAATTGATTGATTGACTGATTGACAATCAATACTTAGCCCAAACAGTAAGAAGTACAGTAACAACCTCATGTAATATAGGTGCCCGCTAAGACGGGCCTTTGGTTAATTCCACCCGCAAGTGTGAAAAATAAGTGGAAACGTTTCTTTTCTCTCCTATTGGCTTGACATTTTCTTTCAAAGATCTTTGTGAAAATTCACTAGAGACGCGTTGCACACTTTTCAGAATATCCTGAACGGAAAATAGTGGGTTTTACGAACAAAGTTTCGTAATCAATATGTATGTGTATCGGTTAAAAATTTATATTGAAATATTTTTAAATTGAAAATGAATTTGAAGTCTTTACTCAGAAAAAGGAGAGTCATAAAATAAATAATCCATAAATAAAACCAGAAACATTCTAGATTATAAACAAAAATTTCTATATTGAGATTTACCCTTAAGAAACTTGCACTTTTAATCTAAATGCAACATGTTTTGCACATCTAACATCTAACAAAGATTGGATTAGTTGGCAAAGTAAGCCCAACAAATAAAATGCCCGACGGCAGATAAATAAACTTTTGGAGACACTCGCAAATATAGCCAAAAGCAGTTGCATGACAGTCACGGCCAAGCCGGCGGGCCAGACGCGTCTGACATTTGAAAATGCCAAAGGAACAACAGCAACAAATACTACAAAATCGAATGAAAGTGGTTTAGTCAGGAGTGCCGACTAGTAGATACCCTGAAGAGAGCTGTACGATGCGGCTATGCTACCTATTTCCCCTTCTCAGCTCTGTGTTTGGGAAATGCATTATTGATTTACTTTGGGGCTTATAGTCTGAGATGATTATGAAAATTATAGGCAAATAATATGAGTTAAAAATGTGTATGTATACCAAAGTTCAAGGTTTTACTTTTAAAAATCAGTTTTTTTTATTCTGTAGGGAAGGGGGGAGGTATACCTCAAGAGTGAAATATTTGCAATCTCTATATGCTATACCAAGTTTTATGTATATAGCTCTTATAATTTTCGAGTAATGTTTAAAAATCCATGTCTCAAAATCGATATTTATCGATTTTATTGAAAAAGAGAAGAGATATTGAGAAAGGCAGAGATCGACGGGCTTAAACAGACGGACAGACAGCCAGACAGGGCCAGATCGACTCAGCTCATCTGGCGAAATAAGAATACATATATAGTATATAGGTTCAGGGATGCCTCCTTCTGCCTTTTGCATGCATTAGCACAAAACCAATCTCCCCTCTTTTCGCATTTGCCATGGATTCGGAGTATGGAAAGGATCAACCGACAGGCAAACAAACAAATCGCAGACAATTGAGTGAGTGACGTGCTGTTTGCCGAGACTGTAGCTGACACAAACGAAAACCGACATCGACTCTGCAGCAGACTGAAGGCAATTAGAATTCAATACATTCGCCAGGACGACATGTAATTAAGTGTAATTTGGACGGACGGCGAGCAGTAAAACAGTTGACAGCGAGGAATATAACGATGTGAGTTATGAGACAGGTAGGTAGACAGAAAGACAGCCAAATGAATGTGCCATCAATTTGGACATAATACATATATATTCATGCATATAAAACCCTGCACTGCGGCCGAGAGCAATAAAGTAAATCAAAGGTTTGTCGTGCTGTAAATCATATGAAAGTCCTTGACAGTGTGCGCCAAAGACCGGCAGGACTGGCGTCTCGGCACCAAAGAAGCCAATGTCAGTCTCTGAGTAAATTCCATACACAACTTTCAATTATTGAATGAAACAAACACACGCAACACACACACACACACACACACTTAAATGCAGAATGCGCAGGCTGCATAAACAACAAATATTTGTAGCATAACTGCGGGCGTTTCATGCAAACGCCGCATGTCGAGCGCCAATTAAGCCCCAAAAACGTAAACAATTTCTTGCATTTCCATTTCACACTAGTTACCAATGAAAATAACATGACAGCAAGAAAGCAACCGCACTATTTACACGTACTCGACTATGATATACCCTGTAAATAATTATTATGTGAATTTATGCTAGGAAAATTGAAATTTATTTGTATACCCTAAAAATGGCATAATGTTTTGTGCATATGCATGTAACAGGCAGAAGGAAGCATCTCCGACTCCATAAAATATATATATATTTTTGATCAGTATCCATAGCCGAGTCGATCTAGCCAGGTCCGTCTGTCTGTCCGTCCGTCCGTTTTTTTCGTTTGTCTCTATGTATGAACGCAAGTATCTCTGAACCTACAAGAGATAGAGACTTGAAATTTTAAACGTAGGACCCGCGCATTAAGAATTTAATTCAAATTATCGATTACCTGCCAATTTCCAAGCAATCGATAAATATCGATATTTAAATTGTTTCCAAGAGAACTAAGGTTTTTGAGAGCTGGAGTCACAAAATTTGACATGCAGCTTTTGGAAAGGTATATACAAATCAAATATCTTTCATTTTATAGCTATTTGTTCAAATTGACAAACTTTTAAGATTACATTAGACCAAATCGTAAGTAACTTAGGCTCCAGTCATTGCGTTTACCTAATCAAAATTTATACAAATAACAATTTTACGCGCATTTTCTACATGAAAACATATTGCAATATTTGCAGTAGAGCATTTAATATATAAAAATTTTAGTTGTATCATATTTTTCGTATATATATGACCAATATTTGAACTAAAACATGGTTTTAAGGATGTGCAAATCCAGGTTCACGAAGTAAGGAAATTGGTTCGATCCGCAAACCAAGCCAGCAACATTTTTTTTAATTTGATTTTCCGATTTATTTATCTTTTTTATTATGTTATATACATATATTTAAATATACGTATACTATATTTTGTTTTTTAATAAATATATAATTTTATTATAATTATCTATTTGTAGGAATTGATATGAATTGGTAAGAGGGGACATTTATAAATATCTATACGATCCTTAAAGCTTGACTTGAAGAAATATAAATAATTTGTTTAATAAGTGTACTTAAAAGCAAATTGCGTACAGCATATAAATTATTCCTATAAGCATTTACTTTCCCCAATAAAAACAATTTCCTAGCTATTTTTACCCAAATATTCAAATCCAAAATACCCTATGTTATTTATGTACAGGGTATAAATATATTTGCGTGTTGCACCATGTTCGCTCTGTTCAACTAGTTGGATACTTCGGCAGCCCACACACCCACACCCTCCTCCTTCCCTCTCCCCTGCATTACCGCTGCCTTGCCCTCACACTTGGATTTCGCTTTTCACCGCAGACTTTCCCAATATATATATCTGCGTGGCCTCGTCTGTGGTCTCTGCGGTGCCTTTGAGCCGAAAGTGAATGTTAGCAGTGAATGGGGTATATGCACATACACACTACATGCATTCCCATAAATATATACACACATATATATGTGCTGTTGGATAAAGGGTCGAGCTGCATTTATCTAGTGGCTGCGAAATTAGCATTTGGCATTTTGAATTTTTCGCTTTTTGTTGAACTTTTCTAACGTGTTCTTGTTAGTTTTTTTGTGCTTGCTTCAAGCAGAGCTTGTTAAGTTCTGTAAGGTCAACGGAAATGTTATCCAATTAGCGATAGTCATCGAATCGTTTTCTCGTCGATTCAGTTGCATTAAGCGTGTGTCGATAAAATGCCGCATAGATTTTTAGTTCTACTTTTAAACTTTATTTGCAGACAATCCACAGATGATGCAAGAGCCAGTTGCTTAGACTAAATGCTAAAGAAAGATTAGAAACTGTGCCAAGGATCAGATAGAATCATGTCAAATGTGGGTAAACACATCATATAGCTTTTCGATTTAGTTAATGCTAAAAGCATTTGCAGCCGCTGAACATGGACAAGTCGAATGGCAATGGCGTGTATGCAACCAGCAGCTGCCACATGGATAATGTGGCTGCCACAACAACAGCCATGAACACGGCAAATAATATAAATATTATGAATGGCGCCGCGGCTGTTGCAGCTGCCGCAGCAGCCGCCACGCTGCCCACATCCGCCTCCAGCGAGGACCTCAGCCAGAGCCTGTCCGAGTACACAGATGCCGACGAGAGCATATCAGCACCCACAGAATTTCTCGCCGAGGTAAGAGGATATGTATTCAAATGCAAATTGCAGCGCTGAGAGCGAAATTTAATTTAAAAATCCTTTCAAGAGGATTATTGAAAGTTTCTATTGTGCGCCAGCTTATTGATGGCCACTAAATTGTTTTCGAGCGCATTTAACTTTTAAGCCCAGCCAACTTTTGCCGTTGTATCCAATGTGGGCCAATGGGCCGGGCCATTGTTGGCCTGATAACATTGCATACAACTATATATAGACAGATATCTAAAGGGTTTTGCCGCAATTTGATGCTCTATTTTGTTATGCTCGATTGCAGTTTCTGTCTGCCGTCATGCTCAAGGACTACAAGAAGGCTTTGAAATACTGCAAATTGAGTGAGTATCTTCAAGATACTCCAACCTGTCCTGCTACATATAAACGACTCATTTTCATTTCCAGTTCTGCAATACGAACCAAACAATGCAACGGCCAAGGAGTTCTATCCACTCATATTGGAAAAGCTGCGCTGTGAGTCCACATTATATATCATTTGTAAGCTCGGGCTCGAGTTAATTAATCAATTATCCTGCAGTGGCCGCATCGAGCGACAGCGACGAGAATTACAATAAATCCTCATCACCCGAGCTGGCATTAGATCTGGAGGCGCCCGAGGAGCGCGAGGATAGCGTTAGCAGCCGCAGCAACAGCAGCAGTCACAACAATTGCTCCGATGAGGAGGATAATGATGATGATGATGACGTGGACGTAGATGTGGATGAGGATGAGGATGAGGATGTAGACGATGAGGATGACATTGATAATGTAGATGTCGAAGAGGAGAGCAGCAGCAGCGCTGACGATTACGATTTGCCCATTGACGAGCAACAGGACCCGGCCGCTGTAGACAGCCTGGCTGCGCACACATCCCATTCACACTCCCACAACGACTCGGGCTCATCGCGCAATTCCTCGAGCGGAGGTGGCGGTCGCAGCGACAACACCACTCACTCATATTCCAGCCTCCTGCTGGAGGAGGAGGACGACATTGTACCAGTCAATTTGCAATTTGGCAACAAGGAAACGAGCGCAACAGATTTAGATGTGAGCAACGGTAAGCGCTGCCAAAACCATAAATTCGATTGCCTTACCAATAGATCATTTCAATATATATACATATATATATATATATATTTCAGGAAACAAGGTGCCATCCGCCTCGTGCAGCGATTCGGAATCACCCACAGAGCCGCTGACCCAGCGGCTGGCCGCCATATTGCGCTCCAAGTGCGGCGTATCGGCCAATAAGGATGAGCCCTATTGAGGCGCTACGCTCATCCGCGATTTATATATGCATATACTATATATATGTGTGTGCTATATACGTAACTACATATATTCTTGTACTTGTACTCGTACTCAATGAGTTAAATGTTTACACTTCCTTTGCCCGAAAATAAGTAACTAGTTTCCACTAGTGCATTCGCTTTATGAACCTAGAAACCGTCCCAAACAGCATACAACAAATACTATATAATTCCAAATGCAAAACTTTAGCTGCGAACTAGTTCTTTTTCCCAAAAAAAAACCCAATTCCCTAGACAAACATATCGTACAAACTTAATAAGTACTTATTGTAGTCATATTTATATTGTGTATGTAACTGAGTATAATCTACGCTCCAATAATAATGAATATACTTATATATTATATATTATTATTAATACATATACATATATACACACATATATACACATACATAACGAATTGTATAACAGAATCTATTTTAATAAGACACACCCATGCAAAACGCACAGGACTTGGAATATTGTTGGATAACTTTACACGTTTAGCGTTTTATAGAGTGCGACTTTTTTCCAAACAATTTATAATATACTTAGTATTTAATTAGGAAACGGAAAACGGTTTGGATAAGTCTGATAATATGGATGGAGGCAAATAGTACTACAACTGAAATGGTCCAAAGTCATAAACTATATTAAACGAATACCATAAATAATTCTTATTTTTAAATAATAATGCATAAAGCATTAAGATTCTCGTAATTTATTCCGATTTTCTTTGTTTCAGTATACGTAAATATATATTGCGATCTACATTTTCCAAAATATGTATGTACATAAGCCTATATATATGTATCTCATAATGCCCGCTCCATGAGCTTAACTAAATGACGAAGACACAAATGCGACAAATACATATACGATTATATACCATATAGCTACGTTTATAGAAAGAGATTTGAAAAGATTGAACCCTCTGTATACCCTTAATATTTATAGCAATTTATTGGTGTTTTTAAATCGGTTCAAGTTCAACTTTATGTAATCATATTATATTCGAAATGTATTCTACGTATAACGGATTGTATCATTCAAAGTTGTAATAAAGACAGCAGGCCAAAAATTTTAGCGTTTTATTTACTAAATATTTATATATTCCAGATATCTTGAAGATTTAGCTCCCAAGATTTTAAGCCCACCTTTCAAAACTAATTTTAAATGGAAACAGAGTAAAATATGCAGAGCAAGATAAACAGTATATTTAAATATTTAGAAATGTTTTCATTCAAAAAATCGATGACAGCTATAAATGTATATGATATTACCAGATGCTGATAAGTTTTTGATCATTATTTAAGAGCATAATAAAACTTGAAGCTCTAACATATGGTAAAGATATCTCATACAAAACTCAATTTACAACAGATTATTCCCACGACAGCTATATGTTATAGTGGTCAGATACGGCTGAATCCGACATATGTACAGCCCGCAACAAAATGAGGGACCTATTTTAAGTTTCATCAAGAAACTTGAGCGACTTGTTAGAATATACATACATATAGACAAACGGACGAAACTCCTCGCTATATCAAATTAGCTCATCGTCATGACCAAAAAACTTTTGAATACACATTCACATTTATTAACAAAACTATAATACCCTCTAAATAGAGTAACAAAATTACGATGGGTAAATATATATATATGCATTTGCATCGTTGCTTTTCTTATAACTGTCTGGTTCTCTCTCACTCTCTTTCTCTCTGGCTGTGTATGAAATGCGCGCCAAAAGTTGTTGTTTTTAGTGAAAAGTTCGACACCAAGTATATTTAAAACGAAGCCTATTTTCCCGATTGTTATACCTTTAAGGCCGACGAACGGGTTTATGGTTCATATATTGCAGTTTACAAACATACACAGCTGGAAATAATCGCGATTAATATTATTTATGTTATTAATTTAACATTATTAGAAACGACATTTAATGTACACGTGCGCACGAGACAACCGATCAATAGCACAGACGCACACAAACTAAATTGCTCATTAGAAGTGCGTCTACGCTAAGCCGGCATTCGCACTAATACATAAACATATAAGAGCACACAAATTTAAAATCTCCTGCTCCCGCTCACACCAACCATAGTGCACGTTACTGGTTTGAGCGCTTTCGGCTGGATACTCAACTTAGATAACGGGATCGAAAGTGTGTTCTAACCAATGGCGTGAACGCAGTGAGCATATGAATTTTCTGCCTGCGATTCACACTGCTCGCTCTCTGCTGCACTTGCAGCTTGGAAGTCGCACATATGTATATATAACTGGATCGAAAAATTGTTTTTTATTAAAAAAAATACATTTTCTAACTAACGGTTCGATGTTGATTGTATCGTAAGAAAATATCAAAAAATAATGAGAATACTAAACGAGGTACAAACATATTATTTTAAACGCTTGATAAGCATTTATTTTAAATCCATTATTATCAAAGAACGTTTTATATTAGTATACAAACATATTATTTTAAACGCTTGATAAGCATTTATTTTAAATCCATTATTATCAAAGAACTTTTTATATTAGTATACATTATTTGTTAACAAGACTTGCATTCGAATAATGTACTGTAAGTACATTCATTTTCGTACGTTCATTTTCGATTTTATTATTTTTTTTTTGTAAAACCTTTATTTTTATTACTTTCCATTGTTTGTTTTTAAAACACCTATGATGATTTTTTCTTGAATGATTCGTGATAATCAATGTTCTATTTTCACTGTACTGGTCAGCCAGTATTATGGTTATGTGAATGCCAGTTGGACTGTTTGTATAACTGTATCAAAAGAGTTGCTTTGAAATTCGATAATACAATAAGTTTCAAAATTGTATCTATGTATTTCAACTATTTGAGTGCCCAAATATGTATGTATGCATATTACTTCCATGCCTATCCATTGCCATCTGATATGTAACAAAATACTGTGATGAACAATAAATTGTTTTGATTGCATTCTCGATTTGAATACTGTTTGCATTTGCTTTCAATAATACTTATGTGATCCAACCACTTGAAAATTATTGTTTCTATGTATTTTCAGCACCGTTAAAATAAATGTAGAAAAAAAAAATTAGAAAAATTAGGCATAACAAAATTATTTCTCTTATCATGTTGCATATTAAGTTATGTAAGTTGCTCAGAATAAAATCAGGTAATAAAGCTTTGTTTGTATCGTAAATTGCACGTACTTGTTTCTGTTTTTGTTTTTTTCTTACTTTCAGATCATTCAAATACCGTATGTATGTATATGTTTGATTGATATAATGCAGCATTGAATCAAAGTTTCAGTATATAGCAAACTATAAAGAAACTATGTTTGTAGGTAATTAATATGTGTCTGTTTCTCGAATATTTGCATACATTTCTTAAACCTACATATACATATATTTTATATCGTACACAAACAAAATTACAATGTTAAATATGTTTTGATTCCTTAACTTTTCGATTCAACTGTTTTTTATCCATTATCGTGAACTGTTAATCCAATTAGATCGTAGATATATATGCTTACCATTAAATCTTATTATGTCCCAGACATGCAATATGTACACGGATTTTGTGGAATTAACAACATATAACATACCTACAGTTAGTATGTCTTTCATTTGAATTAACCCTAAATGCCGCAGCTTTACGAGTCATGTGTGCTTTGGAAGTCTGCTAAGTCTTCGTGTTTTTTTTTTGCGTATGTGTATCGTAGGGTATATCGTATATGCGCTTAGTTATAATATTCATTAAAAAGAAACTTTCATTTGAAAACTTCAGGTGTTTCTTGTACTGTTCAGTAGAAATACATATGAATAAACGTATGTAAGTGTGTGTGTGTGTTTGTGTATATATATACTTGTGTATGCTATAACATGTTTGTATTTACTAGTGCGTATAGGTATAGGTATAGGGTCGTACGAATACATTGGCACAACATCAATAAAACAAAAAGCAAATGAATGAAAATAAGTAGATACATTTCATATTGAATCTTATAAAAAATGTGTAAAGTATTTATTTAAAATACAACATTAAAGCACAATCAAATAAAATGTACCAAAAATAAACGATATGTGTACAGAATTAAAATGAAAATAGCTTTTAACTTTAAACTTAACTGTTAGGTATCTAAACGTTTTGTCTAGGCTTAAATGAAAAGTACAGCAACCACAATGGCTGGGCTTGGCAAAGAATTCAACAGCTTACAGGTTTACAAGAAAATTAAAATTCTGGGCAATAATTAGACAAACTAAAAACAAAAACAATTATATTTACGTATGTGTATATAGGTATCAGTCGATGAAGTCAATGTGAGATGAGCTACAAACGTAATGCATGCAATGTGCGTCTAGAGAATTTTGCATTTTCAAAATTGCCCAGGCTGAAGATACATTTCAAAAATCCCAAATAATCTCTAGGGTAGCCCACCAGTAACGCGTTTTGTTCTGTTTAACTTAAACTAAGCTAATGTCTAAGGGGGGCGGGCGCCGGGTGCTTGTGTGTATCTATGTATAAATGGCAGCTCGCTCAAGTGTATGTGTACATAAAAGCTGCCTATGCACAATACTTATGTAAAACTAAATTGTTGAATATAAAAATTAAAAATGAAGACGCGACGTTCGGGGTTCTCGAATCACAGCCTACGGACGTTGACTGTGATTTAGTACCGCTTCTATAAGCAATTCGTTGTCTCCTTTGCATCCTCAATGTTGGTGTGGTTCTTGATGAGCAACTGTGTGGTCGGATATTTGTTGAGTTGCGCAAAGCGCTCCATCACACAGGATGAGCTGAGACGTGCCTCGGCATCGTGATCCCAACACTCCTCCATGGTGTCGCAAAATATGCTGAGGCCCTGCAAATCCGAAAAAAAAGGGTTTTAAATGTACAAATTATTCATGAAATATATTAATATTATCTTACCAAATGGGCACGCCAGGTGCTGAGCAAATGTGGACGCAATTTCTTCATCACGACGCTTTCCTGCACTTCATCAAGTGTGGGGCGCTGCCCGAGTTCCGCCTCGAAGGGCAGCTGATACTCGCCCACGGGCCCCACGACATCGCAGCGCGAGACCATCTCCCACAATACCAATCCACAAGCATAGACATCGATGCGCAAAAAGGCATCGCGATTGAAATTGATTGCACCCTCGAGCACCTCGGGCGCCATATAGCGACGAGTGCCCACCTGGCCATGAGTATCGCCGCACGGCTTGCCCGGCTGAAAGATCATGGCCAACCCAAAGTCAGCTATGCAGGCTGTCAGATCGGCCTTAAGAAGCACATTCTTCGATTTAAAGTCGCGATGCGCTATGGATGGTTTTAAGCCATCCGTTTTGCTGCCCAGTATCTCCTCGTGTAAATGCGCCAGCCCACATGCCATGGACTCGGCAATGCGGCACAATTCGACCCAAGTAATCGTATGGGACTTTAGATAGTCGCATAGAGAGCCATTATGCTGATATGTGGATATTAGCCAATACTCGGGCTTATCCAAGTGCTTCTCCACGCCCAGAAACTCTAAAATGTTTGGATGCCGCATGCGAGGCAGTTTATAAATCTCATTCTCTGTAGTCCACGACTCCTTCTCCTGCATGCGAAAGATTTTCACTGCCACATCCTGGCCATGCAGCTTGGCCTGCCAGACATCGCCAAATCGGCCGCTTGCCTTCTGCTCCAGCAATTGTATGGGACGGTTGCTGAGCAGCGGTGACGCATTTGTGATTTCCGCCTCGTGCTTAAATTAAACGTGAAGTTAACTAAATGGTTTCAGCAAAACTTAGCTAAGCAGCTGTGCCCTACCTTGGGTATCTCATTGAAGTGGACCTGCTTGAGGCGTCGATAAAATGCGTAGACAAATATTGGTAAGACCACCAGGACGGCAAATGCCGAAGAGCAAATAATATAAAAGGTCATATTATTGTTGTCCTGTGTCTTCTCTTTGGGCACTGCAAATAATGTTAGAATCAATATATAATAAGGATTGTTTTTCTTTTATGCAAATATTCAAATATCTTATTTTATTCACATTTCCTGCAAACAGATTTGTTTCGCCTTTTGCTGATGCATAAG